TTCGTTGCGCCGTTTTCTTCTCTAAGACTTTAAGAAAAAATAATATTAAACAGTAAAGAGAACATCAACCGAATGACTTTTCATTAACAGTTGATGGAAAGAAGAAACATTCATTGAAACATTCTGCAATTTGTGATTTCAGAAAAAAAATGGTTGATTGTGAGTGAAGAAAAACAAAGTTTATTTTGCTTTTATTGTTCATTATTTGGTGGTGAAGGATCTGAAGCATTTGAAAAAAAGGGCAAAGAAACTCGACGAAAGTGCATTGCATTTAGAAAATGATCGCAAATTTAAAACTTTTGAAACTGGGAACATTGCTGCACATATTGATTAGGCGGTCAAAATTTCAATCCAGAAACATAATGAATAAGTCTCAAAAAATAGACATGTTTTAGGTAGAATGATCGAGTGTTTAAAATTCTATGGAACTCATGAACTAGCATTGGGCGGGCATAATGAATCTGAAGATTAAAAAAAAATATAAAAAAAACGCGGCAATTATTGAGACATATTAACGTTACTCGGCAATCTATATAGTGTGTTCGATGATCATTTAAACAATTCCTCTGTTTAACTCACACTTGACAGAACGAGCAGCACGATTGTATGTATGAAACATTTTTGGAGGAAGCGGGAGCATGCGGTGGTTACTTTGTATACCTCAGCTTCTAGCGGCCACCCAGTTTCCCTTCCCCCTATCCTAATTTTTTGTTGCATGCTGTAATTGTGCCAATACAGGGATTTGATCACGTGTGAATCGGAACTTCCACTCTCAGAAAAAAATTAAAATCTCTACTGAACATTCTGGTTGACTCTCATTACATTGAGAGAGAAATATGTGCCCCATAATCATTTATATGTTATAAACGTCTCGACGAACAGTTGAAGCAATTGAAATTTATTTATACTAACAAAACCTATTTAAAATAATTTTGTATTGTGATAGCACTGGCTTACGAGTAATAACATTCGCAGACAGGTCGAGCTAGGCGAGGCCTGGCCTTGAAGCATAGCAGTGTACAGAGTGTGCAATATTTTTGATCATGTGACATACGGTTCTTTGTAATTTTTATTCTTAAAATTCATCAAATTCTCATTTTTGCTTACCCCAGCAGTGCTGGGGTTGAATACACGCCACTGGGAGGAACTGAAAAAAGATAAATATAGTTGATTTTGTTTCTCTGCAGGCCGATGAAACACCTGACATAACAAGTCGAAGTCAACTTGTCTTAATTTTGCGGTATGTTAATCAGTTAAGTGATGCAAGCCTGGCGTAAGATTTAGTATTTCTTTGACGTTTGAGCGTTTCTGAAAATGCAGAACTGTGAGCTAGTTTTCACAGAAAACTGTTCAGTTGTCTGTTGAGAAACTTTATAAGACATTATTCAAAGCAGTTTTACTCATAAATACAATAATATAAACAAATTGCCGCTAATGAAAGTATTAACGACGTGAGATTGAAGTCCAAAAAATTAATTTTTGGTAATTTTTTTAAAAAACAACAACAAATGAATAGTACAATATGGCATTTATGTCATCTTATAGAATGAATTTAGCACTAAGCCCACCAAAAGTTTAAAGAAAAATTTGGAACGGTTTTTGAAAAAAATCTTGTTTATGTATTTTTTTTTAATTGCACGGAATATTGTGGGAAAACTACTATAAGTTTCAAAAAACTGTCCGTGACCCTAATAAAAGAAACAATTATGGATAAAACATTTAATTTGAAGGAAAAATCTCTATCTTCAATTTTGTAGTGGGAAGATGCCGAAAAAATCATACTTTTGATATTTTCGAAAATTCAGTTATCACTGAAAATCGGACCTACCCTACCTTTGTAAGCATATTGTACTCTAATCTTACAAGAAATTTAAAGAAAACATTTGGAGCAGTTTTTAAAAATTTTTCAAAATGTCTAAGGGTCTTCATTTAAAGTACTCCCAAATTTTAAAGAATGTTTCTCAGTATCTCACAGCTTCGATTCGAGCCAGATCGACAGTGGTTTCTTCAATTTGGAAAAAATCCTACGTATGGTTGAGGCGCTAGTGGCGTTCGCAGAGACAGATGCAATAACGGACGTTTGGCTGTCAAATGGTTTTTCGATATCAAGAACCCACAATGCAGAGATTCTGGATACACCATGTGTTAGAGGATTTCCCCTTAATTTAACAACTGAATTTATCCACTTTTTCGTTATCAGGCCCCAGCAATTTTTTTCTGTCGAAAATTCGCCATTTTCCCTGCAGCAATACATAACTTTATTTCGTACATGTCCGTATACGAGAAATAACTCGTGTTGCTACATAATGGTACAGACTTTCTCGTATTAGTTTTCTACTTTCTACGGTCTGGGCTAGCTATTCGCACTTGCCACGTACTTGCTCTCTTGCCAGTTGCCATCTATGACCGCGCACATTACATTTTTTTTTTCTTTTTTTATATTTTCTCACTTTTTCGGATTCTGAATAGTGGAACCGACTACTATTAAGATATAACTATTAAGAATATTAAGGAAGAGTAAAACCTCGCCCTAAATGACAATTTTCAGTGAAACATTTTGAGTTGTTTTTTTAGAAACTGGCGTTTAAGTAAAATGTAAATGCGAAATTTGAAGCATTTTTTCACAAGAATATTTTGAGGTTTCGAAAAACGTTATTGGAAGTCATTTAAGGCACTTCCATTCACAAATGTAATAATGTATTCAAAATTGCTGGAAATTGCATATTAACGGTGTGAGAGAGATATTAAAAAAAATTACATTTGTGAAATTTTTGAAAAAACAAAGGTTACCCCAAAATGATAGTGCAATTAGCACTAACCGTTGGAAAAGTTACAAGAAAAAAATTTGGAGCTGTTTTTGAGTAAATGACGTTTGAGGGTTTCTGAATGCAGAAATTTGAGCTCATTTTCACAGAAAACTTTTGTTTTCGAGAAAATTTGTTATTATTGAAAGCACAGGACATTATAAATACAATAATGTAAACAAATTGACGCGACTGTAAATCTTAACGATGTAAGAAACAAGTAAAAAAAGTAGTTTAGTAATTCTTGAAAAAACATGTGCATTTTCATCCCCCCCCCCTACGATGTTATGAAACATGTCGACATTCTTTCTACCATTCAGAATCAGGGTACACGTGCTGTGAAGGTGCACAACGCTTTATACACCATTTTGGGACAGTTTTGCCTCAAATTCGAGAGAACACAAAGATATCAAGTGAATGCTGAAGATGAATGTGTTCCCGTCTCATCGAAAATATGTAACCCGGAATCTGATGGAAATATTAATGTAATGCCAAAGAAAAATGTGACGTTATTACAAATCAACTTAAAGAACATTCTTGCAATATCAGATATTTTCTTTTGAGATAGTGATTCCAAACAAAAGTTTCCTGTTGACCCTATCAGCACTTTTGCATCAAGTTACAGTGAATTTATTTTGAAAGAAAAATTAATTAACTGTCTGTGATCTCTCGTAACATTACTTTTATAAATATATTTTCAGTATCTGATTTGATTTTCTTTAAGCAACATTGTTTCAAGGATTTTTTTTTGAGACTTAAAAACACTGCAAATAGTGTTAACAATTCCGGTTACTACAGCTGAATCCGAACGAAGCTTCAGTACATTAAAAAGGCTCAAGACGTTTTTTGGAAATACCATGGGTTAAGACAGACTTAATTCATTAGCTGTTTGTTCGGTTCATAAGACGGAAATTGCTGAAATTCCAAAATTCAACAAGAGTCATCGAAATGTTTGCAAAACAAAATAACATGCGTGCACCACTTTTGTACAAGAGATGCAGTTACATGGTGAGTACGTACATACGTAGATCCTCTAAAGTAGGCTTCTCCTTCCAAAGGATAAGCCAAGACATTAGCGTAATATTTACAAAAATCTTTTGTTTTCGTTGACGTACTACCTGTATTTTAAGAAATCTTAAAAAAAAAAACTTTTTATTGTGGAAAACTTATAGCTTTAAATGTTTAATTAATTTATTGATTGAGATATTCGTGCTTTTACACCTGGCCCCGCCAGGAAAATATTTCACGAACCAGCACTCGCCGTAGTTCATAAATTATCTTACCATGAAACTACACATGAGGTGTTTCAAATTTTGTACCTCCGTGCGGTCGCTGCTTTAAGCAGTGGTGGGTACACATTTTCTACCACCGTGCTGGAAAGAGGTGAAAAGTAAATTACTGTTAATGGTCAAGTTTTAATAAAGTTTGAGAAATAGTTCTACCACCATTAAACTTCTAAAAAACTGAGTCTACGAGTTTCAAAATTCTGCCTTGTGACTTTTGTGAAGTCTGCTGACCAATCTAAAACAATTCGTCCAAAATGCTATTAAATTTCAACTTTGAAATGTAATGCTCTCTCAAAACATTGTTCTGGATAGTTTTTTCTGAACATCGGGTTACAGAATTAAAGCAATCTTGATTAAGCTCGCTGCAGTTTCGCATTGTGTTTACAACGAAAATAGATCGAAAGTAAATCTCCATGGTAACAGCTAGCAACTGCCTAAACGTCAAATTGTTCTGAAATGGCTGGGAAAGGCAAACGGAAATCATCTGACGCAGGGAAAAAGAAACAAACGGGTGCTACAAAAACTGAAGGACGATCAAAAGCACGTTGTAATGTGGATATTTTCAGTGAGCACGCTATGGATAATGCATACTCCACATGTCACAACATTATGGACGTGTTAAAATGTCGAGGATTTCCTTGGCCAGACGCAAAGAAGAAAAAGGGAAAGAAAAAGTAATGATTTTGAAGAATGCAGACTTGGAATCTTTTGCGGTGATGTATTCGATTATTGTAGAATTAATGCTTTTAATTCTGACAGCGCACAAGGTGGAGAAAGGAAAACAAATTTTTTAATAGTTTTGCCACTTAAATGTATTTTATCACCTGTAAATAATTAGATGTGGTCGATACAGGCAATTGTTCACTTGACATAAGTAACAACTTGTGAACAGTACCCTTTTAACTCTTACAAGATGTACTTACTAGGAAAATTCTGTTTAGAATTCTAAACAAATCTCCCTTATCTGAAGATACCTGGAGTATTATACTTGTCTCAACTGATTGGCAAGTTCAGAGTAGGTATGGTACAAATTATTAATTTATCACTTCGAGCAAACTTTGCTTTACAGAAACTTAAGCATAAGGGAGGCAGTTATAATTTGAAATACATTCATGCATCTTGCATCAGCACTATTCAAATATGTACACAAAACATGTTCACTCGCGATACCTATAATGTTGTTAAGTCTTATTTTTAGCATAATTACAAAAGCTGGAAGATAATACAATATATACACATGTCATTACCAGATCTGTATTTTACATGATTACTTTGGCTAACATTACTGTGTAACAGTACTACTTATACTATTACGTTTTTTTCATGTAGCCATTACATTGTAATATTGTAATGTTTACAATACAGCAGATGAAACCAAATCTCTGATAAAACTAATTGTGAGTTAATGTTAGATGTAGATGTAGATCTCAATACAACTAAGAGTTTGTTGAATAAGCCCAACACATGCAGTACAATAAACTTTTAAGAAAAGAAATTGTGTTTGTCCTTTACTGAACCAGCGAGTAATTTTTTCCAAGGGGACTATGTTTTTCATAAATAACCCTAAAACCATACAACTAATTAACTGCAACAATTTCATATCACATATGGAACTCAGCTACAAAACACAAATTATTAATAATATAATAATAATAGGAATAATAATAAAAACAAACAAAAACCTGCTGCAGGAAGTAATTGGCTGTATTTTACTCAGCATTAGAAAACAACACGAACACAAATCTTTCATGTTATCATACCAATCTCTGACTATGCCATTATTTATTTTGCAGTTATACACACTCCTATATCTGTAATAACAGGAAGAGAATTCTTTTTTTACACCTGATGACCAAATGGTCTGTTTTAAATAATTAATAACAAAAATTATCAAAATAACAAATAAGTTATAAATGAAATGTGATTTTGTTAAAGCTTAGTACTCTACAATGCATCAGTATCTATTATACTACCTTCATAAATACAGGTATCGTGTTAAAGATAAGGCAAACAATTACAATGAATGAGTATACAAATATACAAGAGCACAAAGAAAGCAATAAAGTACAGTACCAAAAACCAGTCACCCACAATTAACACTTGTTTTTACAAAATAACCGGCTTTAACGGATCTTCAGAATATCCATATTACTCAGCAATGTCTAAAAATATTCACACAATATAACCCTGTGATTAATTAAAACTCTGACTAGACTTCATGAACCTTTAACTTGCTGTCTAGTATTGGATTACGATAACCAGTGCTATTACTAACAGGGACCTAACAGAACTGGAAGACAGTCCTCCATGACAACCATTCTTAAAAAAATATTACATGAGTTCAACAGAAACTCTGTGTCCAATGAATACTATCGAAGCTTCTTAGTGCAAGCAGTTATAAACAATATAATTTTCTGAAGTCCTCTGAAATAAATTCCAAAATAATACAACTATTTTATTTTCGCCATTCACACGTCGTACAAGTAACATCAGTAAAAAAATAATAAACTACATTTCCTAAAAATATTTATTAAATACCCCAATCTGTGCAACAAAAAAAATTTTCAGACTGACAGATACAGAAATAGATAAAACAGCCAATATCACAAGTGTCAAAAAAACAACAACATACATTCTATTCTTTTATTTATAACTGTAAAGGCACAGATCTACTTGAATTAGTGTCCACATTGACTTTTAATTGTAGAGTAATGCAGTAGTGCTTAATGAATTCAGAACAAAATATTTTGTAAGTGTTGTTTATGCTGGATGACCTGAATGTACTGAATAAGGTACAAAGTGATATGTAAGAAAGCCAGGATAATGCTTTAAACAAGCCTTTCATAAAAAAGTTGCTTAAGGCATTTGATCAAACCTTCACCTTTCACAAAAACAATTCACTATGACATAATTTTATTTTTTCCTTCAATTTGGATTATGTGCTGAAAATAATAGCATAGTAAAATCTAATTTTCTATTTAAAACAAGATTCTAGCTGTTCTTACCGTTCATTTAAAAGCCTTATGGTATATCCTTTTCAATCTAATTGCATATAATGAAGGTAGTAGGAACAGACAATTCATTTCAATATACCACTTAAAGTACATTAAGGAACATTAGCTTGGAAATAAATTTGTTTTATACACAAAAATCTGACAAAAGAAAATCATTCATGCCAGCAGATGAAATAAATCATCTCCCAAATACTGCAAGGTTTAAAAATTTAATACAAGCAGTTTAAAATAAACAATGTTTTGCACAGTGATATGTCTATGATGTTCTAAAAATTAGTATAGAAATCAGTAATGCCTCTGATGTTGATTGGTATAGTTCTTTCAAAATTTGAAGTTTATGACAGATACAACCTTTTGAAAATTATTTCTTATTCAATTGATACGTTCTTATTTAAAAGTACCTTCTTAAAACTTTTTGTAAAGCACTTATTTATCAACAGTTTTCAGTCAAGATTGCATGATGTGCATCATGCTAAACTCAAAAACAAACACACACACACACACACACACATTTATGTGAGAAGCAGGAAAAGAGTGAATACAAATAATAATAGTAATAAATTCTGTTATATGTTATCCTTCACAGAAGGCTATCATTTTTATAGTATCAGTTAAACATTTTTCTATAGGTAAAAACAATTTGAACAAGTCCCATTAAGATTCTATTAAATCAAAAAATTTTGAAGGAATTTTTCAACGGGCGTTGACTGTACATCAAACATAGTGGACAGTTTCAACCTTGCATCATTACAGACCGAGTGAAAAACCAGTTCTAGACAATAAACTGTCAAAATTAACATCAGTATGCTTTACACATATTTACAAGTTTCTGAATCTCTGCAAAATGCAGAGTATATAAATTTTCATAAATTATACACTTGGTAGTACTTCATGAACACATTTTGTTGGCACAACTGAGTTGTGAAAAGGGTATTGTTTTATAATATAATAAATAGTGGCAACTGTTTATTAATGAGTGAAAAGAACAGAAACACCATAAAACATACTAATGTGAATGCTAAAATGGAACAGCAAAATGTAGTTTTGCATGACAAGCAAGCAGGAAAGAAGTGATGAGAGAATAATAAGTTGTTATGGGGAAGTTCCGATGATTCCCCCATGAACGAACTACAATTAAAGAGGAACACACTTCACATTTGCCCACATTCACCTCTATTCCATCATTAGATGAGCAATAGAATGCTGGTCACAACAACCACAGAAAATGTACACATAGCAAACTAGACATCTGCAGCCACCTGAATGACTTGTGTGAACTAGTATTCATGTATAAGGCATGATGGACACAATCAATGGACACTATTTTAAAATCATATAATATTTTTACTAATACTTTTTTCTTCAATAAATATATGATTGTATACATAGACATTGTTTCACAAATCTACATTTAAGGCACAGCATTGGACTGAATACAAGAAACTCATACACCCACGTGCTTTCACGAGGTGTAAATGCAAATAAAGCCTCTGAAACAAACAGCTTACTATATATTACAACTCTAACTATATGGCTGTCATTGGAAAAATTGCATGATGTTCCATCCCTCAAGGGGACACCACACTTGTAAGGCAACGAAAACCAGAAGAAAATCTGGCAGGGAACTCCTAGTTCCAAAACAGCCTATAATTATAGCACCAACACTTCAAATATTGATTCTGTCTTTAGTTTTCAGCTGCTAAAAAAACATTTTTAAAAAGCTGCACACAGATGAAAGTGAATAATGAGTTAATTAACTTTGAAAATGATGGATGCTCCACAGATATACCCACTAATACATAAAACTCTTCTTAACACGTAGCCATCATTTCAATTTTGCAAGCAAACTGGAATAGCAAGCCTCCATTACACTAACACATAGTAAGCATGTAATTTTACAGAACTCGCAGTAATCCCCTCAAAAGTAACTCCTTTCTCAAGAACATGAATGTGCATTATAGCTGTGAAACTCACAAAATATAACGTTGCTACTGTGAACTGAGTTTACAAGCAGCATAACAGATTTATGATGTATAACATCAATGGAATATCACAGGTTTGTTGCCAGTGCGCCAACACTGTTATGTGACTTCCAATTATACAAATGCAGGAATGAAAATGCTAACAGTAGCTCCTACACTTGATACTTCATTGGATTGGCAAGAATCTTACCGTCACTAAGGAAAAATTAATGTTTCAATAACCAGATACTTTATGTCATACATAAACAGGACCTTGATTGTCATCATCAAGATTAATTTTATTAGCATACGCTGGGCCACCACCTCCATCATCAAAAAATCTACGAAAAGTAAATTCAAAAAACCCATGATATGGCTTATTGTCCAAAAATTCATCGGACTTGTCAGAACCAGATGATCCCGAATTCCTAAGCCTATCTGGATCAACTGGATCAAAGTTTGATGTGTCAGTTGGATACTGAATCTTCGGAATATATGGTGCAACTTGACGTCTTAATCCTTTCTCAAAATCTATTGCATTAAAAAACGGATGTGCTTTTACTTCTGATGCATTTTTGCCAAGTCTTTTATCAGCACTAGTACAGAGCTTCAGAATGAGGTCCATTCCTTCTGGAGACAAATTAGCTGCTTTCGGAATTTGAAGCGTGGTCTCCCAATTGATCACCTACAATAAAAGGAATAAAATAAAAAATTATAGATAGAATAAAACTGTTATTCTATTAAAAGAAGCATACATTCATTAACTCTTAAATAGTCCCATACAAAATTTCAATATAAATGGCCATGAGGGGTGTCTGCTAAACCCTACCTAAAATTAAAATTTTATCATAGCCAGAATATGTTAATAACGGTTATGATGAAAAGAAGGATGGCAGGGACAAATTTGATGCCAAATTTACAGAACCTAATTAATTTTAGCAAAATGACAAATAATGTTTTAAATGAATTGGTGTTTACAAGAAAATTGTAATATTTAAGGAAATTATCTAAAACAATTTTTTGCTGGTTATTTACCTTAAAAAAATCCGAACTAGTACTAACACATTATGATTGAGAATATTTCATCACAAATTCAGAAGATACGTGCCACATGGGGTGACACCCCAACTATAATTAGAGGAAAATTGGAGTGAGTAAAATTCATCTTACTCCAACAAAAGGAATGAAAATGGCTTCTTGGAAAGGTACTATATAAAAGCATAACTAAGTATCACAGTTTTGCCAGAAACACAGTACAGTATTTATAAAGCCGCAGTAAAGCTATTTAAAGCTACAGCTACAATAAAGCTATTTATTTGTACAGTTATCTCATTTAATACTATAATTACATTACTTCCACAAAATCTTTCAACATATTATGTTCAATAGTATTCATCTCCTATGCAACAAATTGTACATGCTCATTAGCACTACTTTCACAAAAAACCTTGGCACATTTCGCTTGATATTTTGAAAGTTCCAAATCTGAAGATAGAACACTAGTTTTGTTACAAGATGATTTTGATGAAAATATTTGTATTTTTACTTCCGAAAAACTTTCTGGTACTCCTCAAGGCAAACCGACTCACAAAATTTAGGAACATGGGCTAAACAATCAAATGTTCATTCTGATTTCTCTTTCATATGAACATTTCTTTATATGTATAGACATGTTTAAACGTGATAAAAATACACTTACATGAGCATTTCATACCAGTGTAGTTCATTTCACAAGCAAACATTTAACTTCTTCCACCCAACTTCTTTACAATTCTAGAAAACTTGTTTATTTATCATCTTTTCTAAGTCTTTATCTTTTGAAGGACAGTATTAAAATTAAAATAAAAAGTGAAAAATATAGTTCCCCAAAGCCTACTTTTTATCAGGCCCCTCAATGGTTTGTTTTTCATATATTACTAACATTATTTAAGGTGATCAGATATTTATTTATCACTATCATCCTTTAGCCAGAAAAAAGGGATGTATTCTATCTATAGTGTACAATTGAACTAATTTAATTTAAATCCTTGGCCTGTCAACTGTTCTGTGCATCACACTCCCCATATTTAGATGAAAGGTATTAAATCAAAGGGCTTAGAGTAGCATTTGCCACCTGGAGAAGAAATGACATCAGAGAAGCCTGCCCCTTTGTAAGAAGGTGCTCAGAGCGGGGTGGGGTTGGGGATTGACAGACTGATGTTAAGAGCCTTGGGTGTGGGCCATTGCCTATGCTTCGAACAACATGAGAGCCCATCTATACCTGTTAATTTTCTTTTGATTTGGGAAGAAATGTTCTTTTTGTAGATACTGTAAAAAACGTGAAGAGTTTAATGTATTTGAAAGAACTGCAGTATGTTAAAAAGTGCAACCTGCAGAGGCATTACACAGCTTTGTAACTCTGAGAAACACGTGAGATGAAAATCATTTCTGAGAATTGACAGATAGCCTGCAATCATGAGATGAGAAAAGGATTTTTGAGATAGAAGGTTATGGAAAAGGTTCTGAAAATCACGAGAATTTACAACATTCTCAAACATGACATGAAATAATCAACCTCGGAGTCCAAATTCTCCCACGTGACCCCTCCTGGCTATGTATTTGTATCTTTTTGTTTACATCTTTGGTAACATTTAATTATTGTTTTAGGTGAACTAAATGTTACATTATATAACATTGCATTAATATTATTGTACTAAAATATTAAAACTATCTTGTGCAAAAATGATATGTATTAAAAGAATGGAAGTGGAATTACAGAATTGGTTACGATAAACCATGTCAGATATTGCTTTGAATTAAGTAATAATCTACGTTCTATTTTTTATTTTTCATATTGTTATTGAATGAACACTGTATGCCTGGTGTCATGTCAAGCAATTCCTTTGCGCTGCAACTAGCTTCGGAGCATGGTAGCAGATTTTTGTGACCTCACAGAACATTAAGTTGGCATGCATTGGCTTAGTGGGTAAAACAAAAAGAACTGTCCACAAGCCAAATTAAGTAAAAAAGATTTTGAGCAATAAGTTTGACCCAAAATTACTGATAAGTTTCAACAAGTTTTCCAACTTTCCACTTTGACAATGGAAAATGTGTTTATTTTAATTTTTTTAAACAATTATGTTTCTTATTTTTAAAATAAATAATTGTGGTTTTAAAATAGATTTCTTCCACAATATACAATTTTTATTCTGAAATCGAATTTGCTGAAACCATTTTATTATATTTCACGTTCATATTTGTTCAAAGTTGGGTTGGAAATGCACCAGATATTCTAAATTTATTCTGGAACTGTCACTCGTATATTGATTTATTTCTACCCACATGAATTTTCCAAAAATTCACGAAATAAGTTTTTACCCAAACTAAATTTTGAAAAGGGTGTAATTGTTCAATCTTACTATGTTATAATAGTCCAGATTCCTTTACTATATACTAAATGTAGTTTTTTCTAAATATGTTAATAGTTATTATAACTTAGTAAGTTTCAAAAAAATTATTCAGTTTATTAAAAAAGGAAATAAATTTTCTATTTTCACATATAAGACTCAGGAAAACTAGACTCCTCTTTCTGACTTCCTTACAAATCCAAGGACTTGTAACAAAATAGAACCAACCCTAAGTATATAAAAATTAACTGAGAAATATTTAATTAAAACATTGATTCAAGGATATGTCAATTAGTTTTATGCAGATACATTTGCTTCTCTTTGGAGAAGGGGGGGGGTGTTACACATATCTCATAAAACAAAACATAATAACTATTGGTAAATATTCTGATATGCAGGAGGCAATTTTTTATTAACATCATACCTTCAGTTGTGTCTCTGCAGGAGTACCTGCAAGAAATGGAGGAGAGCCAACCAACATTTCATACAAAATTACTCCAACACTCCACCAATCACAGAGTTGGGTGTATCCAGTGCGCAACAGGACTTCAGGTGCTATGTAATTGGGAGTACCAACTAGAGAGTGAGCCAAACAGCGCTGGTGCTCCCTCTTTCTTCGCCGTTCTAAAGGTTTCAATTGATGGCAACGACATTCATTATTCCAGTCTTCTGTAGGATCCATTGAATCCTGTCTCCCGTGTTCTCCTAAACAGAAAATTATAATTGTTTAAGTCACTGTCCATTTTAAAATAAAAACTTATAAATCCCTTCATGTACTTACCATTCCTTTGATAATATTTTGAATTATGAGTCCAACGGAATCCAGTGCACAGCCCAAAATCAGTAAGTTTGATGTGACCATCACGATCAATTAAAATATTATCTGGTTTAATATCACGATGAATAAACCCCATTTTATGAACACTCTCTACTGCGCATGTCAATTCAGCTATGTAAAACCTAAGAGGACACAAGAAAATAATCTTCTTAGTATTATGTAGTAAGTATAAGTTTGCCATTTAAAGCAAATGGAAGAAGCCTAATTCAAACTTCACAATTGGATCATTCAGAAAGTATTTTCAATACTATAAATAAAAAAATAATTGAATTTATTAGAATTGATAATTAATAACATAAATAATCAATAGATTATATATATTATTAATCAATAGATTCACAAAACTTTTTGTTTAAGTAAGATACACAAACTCTCAGGGTTGTAGTTTAAAGTGATGCAGTGTAATTGATTAAGTGGAAATTAAAAATAGATATAGATGACTGTTTAATTTTTTCATTAACCCTTTTCCAGCTACCGGGGTCCATTGGGCCCCGAAGCAAAATTTTCAATATTTTACATAAAAACTATAAAACATGTTAGGAAAGTTTTTTGTGGCTGTTTGCTATGGTGTTTTTTAAATGTTCCTGCAACCATTTTACAAAAGCATTACTGAAGAATGATTTTTTTCTTTTTTTTTGCAGCAGCAACCATTCAAGCAGGGTATATTGGACACACATCTCTACATCTGCTTGTAATATCGCATTTTCTGGTATTGTTTGGGCGACTACATGGCAGCTGCTTCGTGCCCTAGGGACGGACAGCCGTAGGGTTGCGCAACATCTTTTTATTGGGAAAGTATCTGATACTATGTGTGAGCAATTGTAAGATTGATGACTTAGTAGATAATATTGCTGGGGGTTAGTATGTAGCAGTCAAGAGAGTGAGTTTTTGAAGTCATGTGCGGACCAAGTTTGGGAGAAAGACTGCTCCGCAACAGGAATGTTGCTGACCCTGACTGAATATTAGAAAACATGAATTTATAAGATTATTTATTGTTGATATTGCAAAGAATTTGGTGAATGTAAGGAGACAGTAAAACAAGATCCTGTCAATCACACCTGTTTTCTGGGAAGAAGCACCTTCCACAACTCAGAAAGTGTATAACAATGTCAAAAAAAGATTTCATTTGTGTCTTTGGGAAAGAAGTAGGAAACAAAAGAGATGTAGCATGTGTTCACAACCTGTTTGCAATGAGCATACCCAGGTAAACAGTGTGTGTGATCTGTAATAAGTGAAAAACTGTTTAAAAAACAAATTTAAAGTATTTCAAAAGGTTTTGTAAAATTAAACAGCTATGTTAGAATGTTCTTTTCATTGTTCACATCCAAAATTTACACCTGTAAGCATAATTCCATCGCAGACACTCCTGGGTCTGCTAGACCCTGCCTGCCTAGTTGTGTCATTAAAATTGGTTGCCTGGAAAAGGGTTAATGATTTTGTGTTTACTAAACATTGAGTTGTCTAGCAACAGTTTAGGGTTCCTTCGTGGAGTTAAAGTGAACTATGTGGATGAAGTACGCTATTTTGTGCAAGTAAAGTGAGTTTCAAGAGCAAATAATCTTCAAAAAGGTTCACTTTAAATGCATGAAGTAAATAAAAATATGGGAATACATTACAGAAAGAATACAAAGCTTTCTTTTGGCTTATAATGGTTTTTAGGGTTCATAACGCGTCCTACACTGCACATGCAAAAAATTGCTGTTTGGTGCAACACATATGTACACTTAGTAACTGGTATCAAGTATTTTAAGGGCTAAGGTGTATTAAATTTCTATTCAAATACTGTGTTAAGTGTCAAGTAACACTAACAATTGTAACCAAGATAAATTGAGAAAATTAAAGATAATATTTTTAAAAATTTTGCCAATCCAACTTAGAAATTAAAATATTTAGTTCCCACTTCCAGTACTGATGAAACGGGTTTTAACACTATATTATATGGATTCAAAAACCATATAGGTATGATTTTTATTTATTTTGGGCACTGAAGTTAACAGCAGACTATATGGTCTTCCTCCATTCACCGTCCATCTAATATTTCATCTATTCATTATTCACCGCACCCACCCATCAAGTGAATCAACATAATGATTGAAAGTTGCTTAGTTGAGATTGATCAGCAAATAGAAACATTTTCATTTACATTTGTTAATATATAACAAGATTTGATATCTGAACTTTTTTCCCAGAAACAAAATAATTTTTCCAGCGATTCTTAATTTTTAAAAATATTATAATAAATAATAATAATAAAAATGTTCAAATACCTTGCCAACGGTTCTTCAAATATTCCAAGTTTAATGAGAAGAGACATTAAATCACCACCTGGGATGTAATCCATCACAAAATATAAGTTATCTTTGTCTTGAAAAGAGTAATATAATTTTACAACCCATTCGTTGTCTGCTTCTGCAAGAATGTCTCTCTCAGCTTTCACATGAGCAACCTGATTTCTCTTTAAGACATCGGCTTTCCGCAAAGTTTTCATGGCATAAAGATGATTTGTATCAATTTTACGCACTAATGCCACTTCACCGAAAGCTCCCACACCAATAGGCTTAATTTTGGTAAACATAGATTTATCCATTTTTGCACGTTTAAGCCTGATATAGTTAGATTCTTTTTGAGAGAGCATTTTGCGCATTTGACACTGTGCTTCAGCACTAAGACCAATCTTAGCCATTTCAGTTTCTAACTGCAGTCTTCTGAACACTCTTTGTTTATGTGACTTTAGAACATTCTCCACATGTTGCTCCATAAAAAACTTGAAAGCTTGTGGAGAATAATTACGCACTTTACAATCTCTTCTTTCTTCTTCTTTCTCTTTGCTAACATTTTTCCTCTCTGGAATAGGGGATTGATGATTGATCTTGTATGGGGGTCCACCAGGATGACTTGGCCTTCGATCCCCTCCATTTTGCACAGAGACCGGATTATTCTTGTTCTTATTAGCAACAGATGAGGAGGCAACTGGAGGCAAAGGTGGTGTTTGTTGTGGTAGCCCAATTGTATTGTCAACTGGAGATGAAAATCCAACTCCCACTCCAGTCTGAGGAACTACACGGCTCTCAGCAGATGATGTTGAGCCAGGGCTTTCAGAGCGTGCATTTCCTGGATCCACATTAACTACAGGAGAAAATTTTCGCTGCAGTGGTGGGTGATGAAGAGAAGTGGATTGAACAACAGCTGATGCACGAGGAGTGGCAGTGCTCTCCACTGTAGCTACTTGGGCACCAGTATTGGCTAACAGAGGAGCAAGAGTGTCTTCACCTGTGGGGCCATAAGGTGGAGGAGGTAAAGGATGGTGCATATGAACTCCAGGGGAAACCATTCCCCTTTGAACTGCAAGTGCCTGAATTGAACTGGCATAACTTGGTGGATCTGTAGTGGGCACAGTCACAGGGCTAGCAGTAGTTGCAGGGGAAGAGACTGGCTGTCCAGGAACAGCAATTGCCGGTTTCTGAGAAGGCAGAGGGTAAGGGGGTGCTGGTGCCTGCTGCTTCTGTTGTATAGAAGATGCGTAGGACGGTGGAGGAGGTTGTGGTGGGGACTGAGGTGATGCCGTGACTGGAGGAGGAGCTGTTGGTGCAATAGCCGTTTGCAAAACTGGTTTCTGGACCTGTGTACTTTTAACCGATTGCATGATTATTGGCGGCTGAGTTTTTGCTTGTCGTGCACCCCATGCTTGCAAAGGAGTAGGTCGTGCAACAGAAGGTGGTGTTGGACTCGATACGGATACCGTAATGGGACTTGGAGAACCAGCAGAAGTAGTACCAGAATATATTCCTGATGAGGGGCTTTTACGGTAGTCCTGCGACTGTGTTGGACTTTGGCGGCTCTGTATAGATGCAGTATATGAAGGTGGGGGTGGTGGCACAGTGGGAGATGGAGGAACAAGAGGATAGGGGGGCGGAGGCTCAGCAGATGGTGAGCTAGCAACACTGTTGCTTTGGTATAAGTTCAAAGCCTGCATTTGTTGCGTCAACTGTTGCTGTACTTGGGGTCCATTCTGAAGAATCATTGGCTGCCGACCAGATGAGGTGCTTGAAACCCCACTGCTAGTCGACGTCACAGGACTAGTGCCCCTTTGCTGTGCCTGTGGGCCTGATGACCCACCACCAGCACTGCTTGGCAGCGCAGCAGGTGGTCTTGATGGTACAGGTGCAGGTGACATTCGTTGCAGCAGTTTCTTCATATCGGGAGAGGGGTAAGGATGGGATGATGGGTGTGATGATGGATGCGGGGGTGGAGGAGGAGGGGGAGTGGATGAACATCTTGGTGGAGGGGGTGGGGGAGGTTCTGTGAAGCTGCTTGGAGAATACTGACGGCTCAATTGAGGGTGGGTTGCCAACTCAGCAAGTCGGGGACTATCGGATCTTGAGCTACTGCCAATGCCACTATCCAAAGCAGGGCTTCGAGGCTGAAGACTTAGTTCCCGCTCCAAACTGGGTTTTCTAATGAGTTTTGTGTTCAACACAGACAAGCCTGAAAATAATACATTTCAGATAAATTAATTTGTTAATGAAGAAGAAGTAGAAGAAGACGAAGGAAGAAGAGGAGGAGAAGCAGCAATAAGAGAAGGAGAAGAGGAGAAAAGAGCCCTAAGAAGTTTTATTCATAAAGTTAAAGAGATTTGATGGCTTCAAGCACAAATGCAGTAAGTACATTTAGAGTGCAACTGTCAGCAGCATAAAAAATCAAATACATAACAATCTTTTTCACAAATAAATGGTAACAAATTTTCAAAAATTTCAATGAATCCACAACTTCTTGTGTTTCCAGAATATTGTTGTAACTCTAAAAAAGCAAAAATTGGGATGATGCAGTAATTCGGTCAATTTTTTTAATTTTTTTTTTTTAATATTGAACAAGTCTTTATCTCTGTAATTACACCAAATACTGCTTTGTAGCATATGCATTGCTACTTCACAGATTGAGATTGTCTTTGATTTTTATGAACTTATGTTGCACATTATTGTAAAATCCACTTTTATTAAATTAAAAAAAGGAAGTGTCATAATCAATTTAATTTTTTTGCTACGTTATTGCTTGTTTTCCCTTCAATTCGGTGCTTAATATACACTGCATAACTTACGTGGATCGACAGAACCATGGGCATTAAGTAGTTCTAATAATCTTGGGCAACAAAATGCCCTTAGGCCAATGGCCTAGCCCTTTTTTGCGACTATCATTAACACCCCAATAACACTCTTGGTGCATAAATAAATATTTTGATATTACTTGCAAGGTGATATTACTCAACTTTGATTAATAAGAACCAACTGAAGTTGAAGAAAAATTAAATCATGCTCTCTTGTATAAAACAGATTTTTAGTGTTACAACAGTATTTGTAGGAAATGTACTAGTCATAAAAATTTAAAGCTTCAAAAACATTCCTTCAAAATCTGAATATTCTGAATTTTAATCCTAAGGCAAAAGATATAATACGACTTTTCTATTCATCGTATGGTATATTTTAAATGACTTTCCCCATTTTAAATGACTTTTATTGATTAGCTTTCACCGTGAATTGATTTCTCAACTGTTCCATTTTGTGGACTTACTGTATTTCAATATCACACCATTAAAATATATTACATTAATGTTTAAAAATATTATTTTTAAAATAAAATATTTTCCAAATTAATTTTAGTTATAAATCAACAACCAAACTAAAAACAACAATTTATTTTACACACACAAAAAACAAAAACAAAAAACGTTCAACTAATTTGTTTTGCAACACTCAATAGTTTTTAACATTTATTTCAAAACAAAAATAACAAAATTTAAAATTTTTATTAACATTTTATAATGCAAGTTATATAACTTAAATAATACACTACATAAATAATCACAAATAACAGAACACATTTTTTAAATTTGTTATGTCCAAAAATCATTAGAATTTTTAATTTGACAAAAACTTCACCTGTAGCTGGACCTTTGGAAAGCCCATTGACAGGCTCTGTTTGCTGCTGTTGCTTCACAAGCAAGTCCAAAGCAGCATCTACACGGCCATTTGCCAGTTTTAGAGCTCGCAGACCAGCTTCCTGAAATCAGAAGAAGTGGCTCTTTAGATTTCCATTGTTAAGTTGATAAAATACTTAGATTCAAAACACAGTATTAAATAAAAACTAGTGTTGCTAGAATAGCACATACTTTCTCGCATTATTTCTAAATTTGCTTTTCGAAAATTCAGGGAGTTCAAAAAATTAACGAAAATGAGACCAGCACCATTCTTTTCAGCATACCTTCTTCTATCCTTAAAAAAAATTTGCTTTTCGAAAAATTGAAAAATAACTTATTTTAAGACCCATCTTTACAACCATTTCAGTAAAAGAAAAATCTCTTCAATAGTATAGTTGCAGAAAGATGCCCCCCCCCCCAAATGCACTTTTGCAATTTTCAAAAAATCTGGGATTTAAATGAACATGACATTTGCAATGTTCTTCACATTAGCCGAAGACAAACTTTGGTCAAAACAATTGGCACCAATTATGAGAACAGGCTCTATGTAAAGCACCCTCAAAAATCAAAATATCCGTTTGAAACTCCCAAACCCTCAAGTTCATTCAGATCGATTAAGGGGGCTATCAATTTTGAAGAAAATCAACTGAAGCTTAAGGTGCTAATGATAATCACAGATGGACAGACGTTTTGTCTTCAATCGATTTTGCGGTATTAAGAGTACAAATCATGGATCTCACACAGTGGCTTCATGTAAAGTACCCCCTAAAGGGTCCGCGTTATCAGCCACATCGATTGGGGAATACTAATTTCAGAGAAAATCGGCTGAACCGCTAGCATTGGTCGGTAGACGGACGGACAAACTTTTTGCCGCAATTCGATTTTCGGTATCAAGGACCCACAAAACATGGATTCTGGCCACACCACGTAATTTTTGATTCTAAATTTACTTCCAAATGTTAGAAATTTTACCTTCCTTACGAGAAGGGAATTCAGTTAAATAACTTCTGTCAGAATAATTGCAAATGCACACAAATTTGACATCTGACCTGAGGTTCAAGGGTTTCTCCTAGAATGAAGGGGTAGGTAGGGCCTATATGAATATTACATTAATGTATTACTATAAATGAATGTATCATAGTACAAAAGAAAATAACAAGTACTAAAGCAAACAAAGCTGCAAACGAAGAGCAATATTTTCTATAATTTTTCACAATGGTATATAAAATAATAAAATGGTTTTAGAACGATACATTATTTCAATATTTAATTCAGCATTTCATTCAATATATTTTCAACTGTTTTTGAAATACATTTTTTGGAGGCAAGGTAATTAAAATACAAGTTATTGAAAGTTCTTTCGCAATTTAATAATTATTCATACTGTTCTACAAATATAATTGGAAAATTTGAGAAGTTTTTGAAACTTGACAACAGATTGAATATGCTTATTATTTGCCAACAATGGGAGGGCATAGTACATTTACATGAATAAATGGACTCTCATTAGCAAATTTTCAACATCACTATAATAACTGTACCCTTTTTATGTGTGAAGTATTGGAATCTCCTCATCAATCTGATCTTGAATAATAGTTGTAGGTTTAAGTTTTTTTTAAGCTGTTAAAGGTTCTTTTCTGCTGCGTCTTTGCACATACATAAGGCACATAGACACACAAAGTCTATTAGTGCTTTTCCAAAGATCATTCTGATTGGTGCAGGTGGAGAGGAGAGACAACTGAAAATCAGTTGTGTTCAGACGTATGGATGGATGTGTTTGCATAACTGTCAGATTAAAAGCTTTTGTGCTGAAACTTGGTAAATTCATCAGGAGTAAGATCTAGTTAGCCATTCCAGAGTTCATATTTTAATTGGGGGAGGGGGGGGGGAGTCTTTTCATAAAGCCTCTGACATTTTCATCATTTTCCAGAAAATGAAAATTTTTCTTGAAATTTTTTGCACATTTACAAGAAAGTGCATTTACATGTATAATCTTTTGAAAGCTTTGACATTTTCTCTTTGAGAAACATATGAGAGTAAGGTGGTTGTTAAAGAAGCTATAGCAAGTTTATTTACAAATTTGTGAGTGTCAAAATAATTTATTTCAAGCAATCATCTGTCACACAAGTCATTTCACACACACACACACACAAAAAAAATCATTGGTTAAAATTATGTAATGCAGTATGTTTTTAAGGTAGGGTGGATAACAGGATTTCTTCGTCATATTTCCCTTCAGCATACATATGTAGAATGATAAAGTAAGAGGTCCTGGTAAATAAAGAAAAATTTCCATTACACTTTCAGAGATGTTGAACTTTGGGTTCATAGAGAAAAGTGATTGTATTGTTCCAGAATGAGTAAACCTCCCTTATTTCATTAGCCTTTGAGACAATATTGAACGACATGCAACAATGTTTTGGGGTTTTCTATTTCTGGTATAATACACATGTAAACATTTTTCAACTTTTCTACAGCCTCATTGCACACATATCTAATTTCTGACATGCATGCTTGCTGCTCAAAACCTCAAGACATGTCCCACGCCATTTTCCAGTGACATTCATTCTCGTGGCATGGATGTTTTCTGGATAACTTCATTCAATTGTAGATCTTTGAACGATATCTTGGACTTTTTTTTTTATGTGTAATTGTTGAGTAATAACACTAAGGAAAAGATTTAGTAGCCACGCATTCCTACTAGTTTTCGATCAAAAAGAGTTTCAAACTTCATGTTTGTCGTATCCTTTAAATGAATCTATTTATCTTAGTAATCTGAGCTTACTTCAAATATCAAGGGTAGTTGACAAGAGAGACAGAAAGAAATCACTGAAGAGTGTCAAAAATCTTACTTTAAACACAAGGTGGGTTGTTGTTGTTGTTGGTTTTTTTTTTTTCCTGTGCTAAACTGTGCAAGATTCAAATCTTTACACATAATGAAAATTCTGTATTGAATGAATCTGATTCAGAAGCTTCTTTGGCAAAAGGCTATTTGATCAGTTTTATTTTCTTTCTTTTTCTCTCGCCAAACTCTGGTTTTTCTCAAATTACCTGGCAAAACACGCCCTCATCTCATGCATTTCTGGATTTGGGTTAAACCTGATAGGAGCAGCAACATCAGACGGGGCCTCTGCCGCCGTCGCGCCGGGGCCCGGTCTGGGACCGCCTCGCCGTACGCGTGGCCAGTACGTGAAGGCATTCACCCTCCCGCCCGGTCCCACCCACGCACACGCGCACGAGCGCGCACATGCACAGCGCAGAAGGCACGCGATCGCACCGAAGCGCATTGGGAAACACGGCAGCCGCCCGAGTCCCGCAAAACGCCCGATGGCCAGCCGGCCGGGTGCGGACGGCGTCAATAAGGCAAGCAGTGCGACGCACGTCACCGCTCTCGACCCGCCTGTCTTCGGGCGCAAGGGTTCAAGGTGAAACAACGACGTAATCCTGATACGCTCCACCCGAAACAGTTCCTGGCGCCGGAATGCGCACGACCACAGTACGAAGATCTCGTGTGCTGCCACTGAAGTCGATTATTTCAACTGCCTACGACATAACTGACACACACAAAACGCATGAAGGGAAAACTAGTTGTGCAACAGAATTGCTCATACTTTCTCGTGTTCGTTTCCTAATCTCTTTAGTCTGAGCTACCTTTTCAGGTTTGGGTGACCCTCTTCATAGCTGCTACCTATCGGCACCCTTAAATGTATTTCTTTCATATTTTAGAAATATGTCGATCGAAATATGACTTTACGAATACCAAAGAAAAGTAAAATCTGGTTCTTTATGCTAATTTTCATTGAAAAATTGGGTATTGTTTTCAGAAAAATGCTTCAGCATTACAGAAAATGTGTAATTTGAAGCTCATTTTCGTAAAAATATTTTTTTTCGAGAAACTTTTTCAATTTTCGAAAAATCAGGGTATTCAACCAACACGAAACCTGCACCATTTTCATAAACGTCCTTTAGAATAACCACCAACAAAATTTGATCAAATGCTGTATCTGAGAAAAACTTGCTTAAACAAAAATTAAAAATTGTCTGTATATCACGCACAATAACGCGAATATTACTCAAATTTTCGAAAAATGTAAATGACATTTCAAAATCTATTTTTAAGGAATAGGTTTTATTAAGGGAAAATTCTCCATCTTTTATATTTTAGTTGTAGGAAGACCATTTTCTTTCAATTTTCGAAAAATCAGAGTTTTAACAAACATGAGACCTGCACCGATCTCTTAAACCACCTTCAGACTATCCAACATTATTTAATGAAAATCGATGGCGCTATTTGAAAAAACAAAAAACAAAGGGCTAAGTGAGTACCCTCCAAAATTAAAATATCGATTTCAAATTCAAGGGGCCGCGACATCAGCCAGATCGATTGGGAAATATCAATTTTGGAGAAAGTCCGCTGAACGGTTTAGTCGCTAGCGTTGTTCACAGATGGACGGACAGATCTCGCATATGAAATGTTCACTTTTGACGTATAAATATATTAAAATTTCACGAAATATGTAGTAATAGGGAAAATATATAAATAAGTATACACAAATATTTTAAAATATATAAAATAAAAATAGTTATACTTCATGCATATTGTCCTGTAAACTCTAAAATATATTTTTAATCCAGCTATCCTATTCCTGTAAATATTAGTATTTACTAGCAAATCCGTTCCCTACTAATCAACAATGGGTTTAAGTAGAGCGATAGAACTTGAAACTGTAGTGAAACCTGTTGAGTCATTTTCTTTGATAGAAAGACCGAAAAATCTGTCACTGCAACGATATACCCTTAGCACAATACGATTTTTTTTCGGTTTAAGAAATAACATCTTACTTGTGAAGAAGCACCGCTAGTAGCTGATTTTCCCCACGATTCTTACGACCGCTCATTCTTAATTTAACATCGTTGAAATATTAAAAAAAATAATGTTTTAGAGTTAGAGAGCACTGGACAATTTTTATCACGAATTAATAAGAAATTCACGAAAAAGAAAACTAAATGTAGACGTTTTAACAAATGGAACTAGTTTCCTCGTTTCGTTTAAGTTGTTTATCAGTTTAAACTATTCAACACA